TGAAAGTGTTGACGGGCTAACTACCTCCGCTGGGTGACTAGCTCTGTTTGCACTGTAGGTGGCACATCTTCACCCTGATATTCACAGAGAAAAGACTGAACTGAGAACAGTTCATGCCAAAATGAAAGACTTGAACAGGGAAGTTAAATGAACACAAACAGCCACATGCAACACATGGGGAAATATATCATGACTAACATGATTAGTGTTCGTCTATTATTACAGGGCTTATGAGTCACCATGATACGAGTCATGACACATTCCAGACCTACAAAGGCTAACATTACATGCATCTGAAGCCAAATCTTGACTAACAGTTTATCTAAAAGTGTTGGTGTTGCTTTGCTATGCTAACCTAATAGATTAGCCAAGTGGTTTTTATACGGTGTTGCTATGTGGTTGCTAGTCTGTTCTGAGTGTTTTTTGTTGCTATGCGGGTGACGGTCCGTTCTGAGTGGTTTGTGCATTGCTGTGTGGTTGCTAGGGTATTCTGAGTGATTTTTAGTGTGTTACTTGATTGCTTGGGTATTCTGCATCATTTGTTGTTTGTTTCTGAGGTATTAGAGTGTTATTGTAGGTTTTTTTTTGCACTTACGCAGTTGCTCGGGTGTTGTAAGATGGTTTTTGAAGCATTGCTAGACCTTTGCATGGGCGTTCTGAGTGGTTTTTAATGTTTGACTTGGGAAATACCATTAATAAGCCTATCCCTCAGATCATTCCTATTATTGAAAGAACTCCTGCAACAGAGAATAAATTTGTTCTGCCGCAAAAGCAGCTCTGGCATACATGCTAAGCTGATGTGTATGCATATATAGCCAGTTCTAAAATACACTCTTAGAAGAAAAGGTTCTATATAGAACCTTAAAAGGTTCTATCAGCGCTACGTATTTGGAACCCCTAAAAGGTTCTATACACTCTTAAAAAATGGGTTCCTCTGGGTTCTATATAGAACCGTGGGGTTCCATACTTGGCCAATAGAACCTTTTACCAAAAAAAATTGGTTCTATATAGAACCATTTTGGAATTCCACATTTGAAGTGGGGGATGGAACCATTTCTGGTTCTAAATAGAAGAGTGGGCCAACCTTTGTCACCTGGTGCCATATACTATGAAGGTTATTAATTAGGGTTTAATCATTTTTCTAGCAGCACACCATTAGTCTCCTGTAATCACTCACAGGTTTATACTGATGTCATCAGAGCTCTGAAGCAACGCTTGATCAATAAGCACTCCTCCTATCAGTTATTTCAGCCCGTTCTCATCCTTTAACGTCATATAGAACGCTATATGCAAAAACGGCGCTATACTACGCACATGGCTCCCTTTATCGTTAATATAACACGCGAACCCAAGACGTTATAAATCCTTTAGCGTGAATATGACACGTACACCCTACCCCACACCTAAACTTAGCCCTCACAGCACGTGTTATATTAACGATAACGGGTGCCATGTGCGTAGTATAGCGCCGTTTTGTCACTAGCGTTCTATATGACGTTAAAGGATGAGAATGCGTTGGTTATTTCTAGTAAATCAATCGGTGCCCTATAGAGACTTTAAACACCATAATTAGTCTGTGCAGATCAATAGTGTATCTCTCTTTTTCTCTCACTCTTCCTCTCCGTGACTGTTCTGAGTGTGACTTGCAACGTGGGGAGAGGTTTGAATCTTACAAAAAAGAAGTCAAAACAGAAGGATATGCGGGAGTTAATGTATAAAATGCATCTACGGCTGTTAGGATCAGTACCAGTTTTTTATGGTTTATATTAAGTATAGAATCAAAATGATCTGATTGTTATCTAGCTGGGCTTGGTGTATCAAAATACAGTTTAAGTTGTGTTTCTCATATTATTTGCACACTGACTATTTCTACAACAGAGCAGGATGTATCAATTAGTGAGTCTTAATTACTCATTATTCCAGTTGCACATGAATTGAAGTACTTTTCTGATTAAGTGCTGTACAAACTCGAGTTGGGTGTTGTGAGGATGTGTAGACGGACTTGTAGAAATTCTGCTTTACATTATTTACATGTGAGAGCGACAAAGAAATGTGGAGTTAATGTAAATATAGAACAGGATGCATCTCATACAGAGTTTAGTTGCTTGCTTATGGTTGTTGAGCAACATTAAAACTTGCCAATTTTATGGAAATGTACTAAAGGAGTTGTTATCTTAAAAAAAACATTTGCTGATAATTTACTCACCCCCATGTCATCCAAGATGTCCACATCTTTCTTTCTTCAGTCGAAAAGAAATTAAGGTTTTGGATTTTTCTACATATAATGGACTTCAATGGGAACCAAACGGTTCAAGGTCCAAAAGACAGTTTCGTGACTCTCCTGTTCGAACTCGTTCATCAAAATGAACGAACCTTTTTTTCGAGTCATTTGGTTCATTCAACGAACGAAATGAATGAAATGACTCAAAAAAAAAAAAAAAGAGTTCAAACAGGAGAGTCACGAACATGCATCACAGAACAGAGCAAGGCGAGCATTTGTGCTTATAAAACTTAAACTTTTTTATTTATTTTTGAAATGACCGATCGCTTCGCTAGATAAGACCCTTATTCATCGTCTGGTGTCGTTTAAAGCCCTTTGAAGCTGCACTGAAACTCTCATTTGGACCTTGAACCGTTTGGTTCCCATTGAAAAATCCTGGAATGTTTTCATCAAAAACATTTCTTTTGGACTGAAGAAAGAAAGACGTGGACATCTTGGATGAAATGGGGGTGAGTAAATTATCAGAAAAAAGTTTTCTACTACTGCATTACAATTATTCAATAATATTAGTTTTACTCCTTCGAACTTGAATGTTATTAACTTTTTATTTGCATCCCTCAAGTTCCAAATTTTCATTTTATTCAGAACCTGAGGGAACTTCAATATAATGGTTATTTCATAAGAATATGGTTAAATCTACTCATAATGTGCTTTAAGAATTTGTTCATCATTCCTATTGCAAACTCTACGCAAGTTCATTGACATCTGCAGTTCATCACCGGCGAAATCCAGCATCTTGTTTTGAGTGATGAATCTGTCGGTGGTGTGAACATTACTCAGAAACGCTGGCTAGCGGTGCGAACAGAGGTTATTAGTTCACAGGGCCGTGAGCACTGATGCCAGTGAGGCGAGAGATCGTGAGAGGGCAGATGGTGAAGAGGTTGAACGGAGATCTCCGCGCCGCCCCAGGCCTGTACCCTGGTGTCCATGTTGGGTCGACCTTGTTCTCATCTTCTTGTTTTCGCCATCAAAGCACAGCAGCTCTTTTGATTAACGAGAATCGTCCACAATACTGGGTGGGGTTTGTGCACATTCGGTCTCCTGATGTGTTATTTCCGTCTCTAGGCAGGGAATTTTGTGTCATTTCCATTTCAAAGGTGGGGAAGAAAGGCAAAAAGCACTTCTTTTATAATCACATGGGTCTGAAATTGTATCCCAGCTTGGATACAAACCACAGGGAAATTCTTGAAGGAGCTTTTGTTGTTTCCTGATACTTACACAGAGCCATTAACATCACCGGATCCAAGCACATGATATATGATACGTTTTGCTTAGGACATTTGTGTGCGTCACTGCAGCCTTCGCAGCCAGGACTATACTGTATGAGTGGCTCAGTTTATCTCAAAAGAGCAATAAAACCTCTCATTTGATGCTCTCCTCCTAGACCCATTTGCGCAATTATCTTCAATCGCCTTCCCGAAGTAAGTCTTCACAGTCGAGGAAGGAAATTAACCGAGTTAGAGGACCAACAAACCCCAATTGCTCCTCCTGAATACACAATTTAGCCTTGAGAGGAAATGCTGGCTGTCTAGACTGAGGTGATAATATCTGTCATATTCTCATCCTATAAAGGAACTCATAAACTTATATAATGCTGTTGTCTTCCCCGCATCACAGGTTTGACCTCATATTCTCTCTCTTAAACCAAGGTAATCGTCCACTCTTGGAACAGCAAATTTTAAGGAAACTGAGTCAACTGATTTAAAAATACCCATTTCTATTATTGTTTCCAGTAGTTTTCCACCCATAGGAAGTTACACATCTCTTCAGTATCTCAAGTGTTTCTTAAATGAAATAGAGGCTTAAACTGTGCTCAGATTTGGCAAGACACCAACATACGCAATCAAATGTCAAACATCTGAACATTTCTCATAAGTAATTAGTCTCAAAAGCAACTAAGTAAGTAAATAACAAGTCACTTGCCCTCGAGCAAATACAACGTGCCCGTGGATCCTCTTTGTGGTCACATGAACATTTGAGATCTGATCTGAAGAGTTGTGAGAGTGACATTTGTTTGTGAATTCATGCTTTGACAGGACAAGTTTTAAAGTTTCTCAAACAACTTTTTACTCCCTTGTTCTGTGGAAAACCATCACATACTGTCGCTTTGAAGATCCAGAAACCAAAACGCTTATCTGTGGACCATCATCAAGAACTTTTTCCTCTCATTTTCAGCCTTTGGTGAGCATATAGGGAAGCACTAAAGCTGCTTGACTTCAAGATACATGACTAGTTTATTAATAGCTCCTTTCTGCACTAATGAGCCACCGCCGGCCGCCTATTGTGGCATCACACTGGTCCTGCTTCACACTAATGTTATTGACCGACTCTATTTGTGCGTTCGAGTGCTGTCAGATCGGTTACAATAAGCAGGCGTGTTATGTAAACATTGCACTGTTCTCAGGACTCTTCTCTGCAAATCTACTGTATAGTCCCGGAGTGTGAATCACGAGTGTGTGTAGGCTTTGAACACGCATGACCCCGAAGCCGCATGCGTTGCGTCACTGCGCGTCAGCATGTGGGTTTATCAAGATGAGCGAAGCCTGAAGGGAAAGAGCGTTAATCGAGCGCTAGGTGTACGCTTTTAATCAGAAGGCTTCAGTCTAGATCGAAACGACAACCACAGCAGCAGTGCATCAAAGTGCAGCAGACACAGTCAGAAGCATCTCAAAAGTCATGACAGTTCATGTAACAACACAAGACACGGTTGCATACTCACAGGAGTGGCTGGAGTCTGCAGGAGGCAAACAGTATACCGTCTCTACTCTACTCTTCCTTCAGTGTGAAAGGGAGGAGAAAGAGGAGGAGGAGGAGGGCGGCCTCCAGGTCTGAAGGCAGTCAGCGCACCGGCACACAGATAATCCAAGCCTGGAGGTGTCTTATTTAGTCTGCAGCACGCATGCATGGGTGCATGCAGTAGACACGGGCACGGGCGTTTATCTCGCGTCCCTTCTCTGCGATCCCTCCTACCTCTGCTCATGAGAGACCCTTCTGACAGGAGGAAACATAACAGAAAATAAATAAAAAAATAAAAACATACAGGAAGCAAATGTGCCTCACTGAAGGATTTTATAATCATGCTGGGTCTCCACCCCCACTTGGCTGTCTCTCCTCCCCTATTGTTATAGCAACGGCCAATCAGAGCGCTTCATCACACAAGCCCTCTCCGCCTGCTGGGAGACTGTGATTCTTTCACACCGGAGCTTGTTCAATATGGCTGTGGACCAAAAGTGTGTGTGTTTTGTGGATGCTGTTAATTAGCTGATCTGTCTAGTGAAAGGTTAAACAACATTTTGCTGTACTAAGCTGTCAAACTATTCTGCTTTGTGGTTTACCATCTTATTATTAGCGTGCGCTTCCAAGAAAGATATCAAACACATCGGCATAGACTAATTAGGGAAAAACGTGCAGGTTTTCACTATAGCTCAGTTGTTGATTTAGGTTTAATAGAGAAATACTCTGTTAAAAGAGATAATTGGACATTACTAAGTGTTTTTAAATGAGTGTTATTGGCTTGTTTTTCCTCTTTAATTTTCAAAAAAACACTAGATAATTCACTTGATGCAACACTGCATTATGACTTACTATTAGCACTTGTTTTCTTATATTTTATTTTGAATATAAGTATATTTACTGCAGTGTCTGATTTATTTATTATTATTATTTTTTAATACTAAAATCAAGTCTGAGAAATAAAATGCAAAGAGTTCAGATGCAAAAGCCTCTAAGTGCCATTTGAAATTTTCTTCTAGAATGATCATTTTTATCAAGCTTGTGTATTTAATTTCAGTAATTTCACTTAAATGACAATTAATGGGTCATCTTCATTGCCATTTAAGTGAACTTAAATATACAAGCTTGATAAAAATGAAAATTTCAAATGGCACTTCATAACTCTTCATACACAGTTAAAGATGTATAATCTGAAAACAAGTATTGATATCTTTTGCTGCATTGCTTCTCAAATAAATGTATCTTGTTTCAAGAAATGTTTGATATTTTGTTCAAAAACACCAGTGCAATTTTTTATTGCATGATTTTTTTTTCTTGTGTGAAACACAAAATGAGACAACCTGTTGAATGTCCAAGCTGCTCTTTTCCATACAATGAAAGTGGAGGTTATTGACTGTCAAGCTCCAAAAATGACAAAAAAGGACCATAAAGAGATCATAAAATACTCGATTTGGCTTGTTTTTTTAAGCCATGCGATAGGTTTGTGTGAGGAGCAGAATGAAAATCAATATATATCCCTCCTCGCTAGCTCTCGAATCTCATATACGGCATTTCAGGATGTTTCATGCTAGTGTTATTTTAGTACTATTATAGCATTTATAGTTTTCATTTTAAAGGTACAATATGTAAGAAGTTTGTAATAAAATACCCCAAATACACTTTTACAGTGTGATATATTTCCAGCAGTTGTGTACTTACAATATCGCAAAAGTCACCAAATATTTTTTATTTCAGAGAAATTCCAATTTTAAATAAGTGGCCGTCCGGGAAAAAAATGTTGCCTGTTGATGACGCAATATCCGCGCTGTCCTCGGTTTCCGTTCATACTGCAGTAGCCATGACGTAACCATGGCGACAGACATGGACAACTGCGTAGTGCGTAACGTTTAGCGTTTCTTTCAAACATAGACCATGGCAAGCAGACTTTGGGACAAACAAGAACTAAAATAAGGGTCAATATCAGCGTGGTGTTTTTGAGATGCCGAGAGCTCCACGTCCGCGACTAGCTTGGACTCGACAGATCTTCACGAGTCACGACACCACAGCTTTATTAGACAGCTGAGCAAATGCACATGAAACAAATCAATGTTATATAACATGAGCTCAACATGATGAAATGTTAGAATATGGTCAGTGTGTTATTCAAATGTTAATCTAGATTACTGCTAGTTTCGTATAGCAAACGAACTAACACGTAGTATAACATTATAACTTTCAACGCACATTTAAATGCCGTTTAGTGTGATAGTGTAACGTTAGACCAAGTGAAGCAGCGCTGCGTTACCTCACAAGTTTAATATGTCTAATAAACTGACCTGTGTTAGTAATCCAGCACTTGCGGGTCGTTAGGTAGAATTAAATGTCCTTATTCCTTTATATCCGCGGGACTCGCGTGTGATATCTGTCTCTTTAGCAATCGTGACCTGTTAAAAAACATGTATGTTTGCTCTCATCCATCAACATTTATTAGATCCATCAGCTTGACAGCAAGTCCCATCATTCAGCTCATCACTGCGTCATCAACCTACGCCTTTGGTATTGTTGGAAACTGCGCCCTCTTGTGGAGAAAAAAACTTACATATTGTGTCTTTAATTTTGAGTACTTTCTTAGGTACTTTTGCCATTTGTATTAGTTTTTGTAATATTCCTATATATTATTTGTATTTCAGTGTTCGTTTTAGTTCTTCAACTTATTTCAGTTTAACGTGTCTACTTTTTGTTTATTAATTTTTTAAAGTTGAACTTTTTGCATCTAATATTTATAATGCAAAAAAAAGAAAGAAAGAAAAAAGTGCTTTTCTGATGGTTTTGGAGCTCAACGGACACATGCTTTAGTTGAACTGCAAAACATCTCTTTTTATGTTCCATGAAAGTAAATCACAGGTTTTGAACCACATGAGGATGAGTAAACGATGTTTGTCTGAACTATTTCTTCAATTCTAGTTCTGTTCCTTTAAAAGCAGTTTTGTGTAACTCCAAGGGATGTTGAACAAAAGCCCTGTCAGATCTTGTGCGTCTCACAGCGGTAACACAATAAAAGCTCTTTTTCATCAGGCGAGCAGTTCAGACGTTCAAACAACTTTCAGCTAGTTTCAAACACGAGGTTTGCTGGTGTTTGCGTATCCATGTGTGTATTTACCTGCTGTATACATGGCACATTTAGCAGGAGACTTCAGAGGCAGTGACCCAGAACGAATACTCAGCAAAAATTAGGCATTCAAATGAGCTTTTCACACCTGAATTGGTCAAAGTAATTTTACTGAAGTGAGGTTCAGAGGTACAGCAGAAATGGTTGTGCACCTTTCACATGTTTTCTTCATTAAAACCGTGTCAGCAGCATTTATTTTTGATATTAGAATGAGTCAATAATTGATAGAGGTGTTAACAGAAGACCTACAATGCTTTTCTGCACTTTCAGTATAGTACTGAACACAATTATTTTTAATGAAACTGGCTTTCTAAAAAGTTCTCAGTGAGAGATCATGTACAGTTAGATGGTCATTATCGCAAAATAAGCCCTCAACGCTGATGGGAAGTGAAGCGTAAATAATGCAGACCTTAATTATGACATTTTGTTTAATTGCACTCAAATCTCTTCTCTAGCCTACTGTCTGTTTTAATGCACTTCCAGTTCTGCTGCAGAAATATACTGTTGTCTTGTGAAGTTTGGTCTGGTAGCACTTCTGATATTGTTTTCTTTCTTGGATTAATCAGTTCCGCTTGTATTATCCTGATTTGCAAGTCACTTTGGATAAAAGCTTCTGCTACATGAATAAAGACTTGGCCCTATGTTACCCAGCAGCAGATCGACGGATGCTCAATTGATAACTTTTCTAGATACATTTAAGGTCACATTAAACTAACTCTCTAAAAATGCTGGGTTGTTTTAACCCAACTTTGGGTCAAATATGGACAAACCCGAACGTTGTTAAAATTGTAATTAAAATATTTAACCCAATGGCTGGGTTTGTCCATATTTGACCCAAAGTTAGGTTAAAACAACCCAGCAATTTTTCGAGTGTACTATATTTTATATTCGTAAACTAATTTGGATCATCATTTACAGAATCATTAAATGCCTTTTTTTGTACTAAAGACAATTGTTATTTTTAAATAATATATTTTTAGATGCAATTTCGGAATATTATAAATTCCACTCTAAACAACGCTGGGTTGTTTTAACCCAAAATTGGGTAAAATAAGTACAAACCTAAATGTTAAAAAATGTAATTTAAAATTGACTTCAACTTTCACTTTTCAACTGTACATTTTTTAATTACATTTTTAACCCAACATTTGGGTTTGTCCATTTTTGACCCAAATTTGGGTTGAAATAACCCAGCATTTTTTAGAGTGGGTGTTTTACATATTATATTATATTATATTATATTATATTATATTATATTATATTATATTATATTATATTATATTATATTATATTATATTATATTATATTATATTATATTAGCAAGCAGAAATCACTGGTACTGTCGCAGTAAGTTTCTGTAAGTGCATCCATACACTTTAGTTATTTAATATATATTTATATTTATAACTACTAAACTATACATTCGACCTTTAAAAAAAAAAGTACTGCTTTTTTTTAATTATCATTTTGGATGTATGATATTTGAAACTGGGATTGTTTACACACACTGACAGCTTTCATAACTCTGATCGTTTATCAGCTTTGATGACAATAACAGCTTGAGGTAGGTGAAGTTAGTGAGGCGTTAAGATATCTGGCCCTGTTGAAGCCGTCAAACGCCTCTGTGCTGTCAGGACTGAGAGGATGATAGTATCTCATGCTCCTCTGTGATGGAAACTCCCGACACGCATCAAACAACATGATCAAAGCTTGTGTTTGCCTCATAACTTTGTTGTTCCGGTGAGCGGTATGAATAAGTTCAGTGTAGCTTTTCCTTCTTGATTTCAAATGTAAGATCTTTGTTTGTGGTTGTAAAGGCAGCAGTGAGGACCTGATGGTGAGCTGTTTCTGTAAAAGTTTCAAACTGAAAGGCTCTTTTGACATTCAAAATGGACCAGTGACCATTAGTTGGTCATGAAGGTTGTGTTCGGCTGATTCTAATGATGCTTATTAGATGAATTGGTCTGAAATACCAACATAAATCAGCCCTTTGATTTCATAGATGCTGCTGACGATGGGAAAAGGAAGAAACCATATCTGTATTATAGTGTGATACGCATGTTTAAAACCATGACAACCTAATTTATCTACCCTTTGTTTTATTGAATCTGTTACATTCATTATAAGTTTTGCTGAATGTACACAATATGGGAATACATTTCCATTTTGTTCAAAAGATCTTGATCCGAATGGCATACT